AAATAACCACATGTATATGTAAAAAAAATAATAATAAAGTGCTAAATCGAGCATCTTAAAAATAAATAAATAAATAAAAACTAGCTGGGCGTTGTGGTGTAAACCTATAGTGCCAGCTACTTGGGAGGCAGAGGCAAGAGGATTGTTCAAGCCCAAGAGTATGAGGTTGTTGTGAGCTGTGATGCCACAACACTCTACTCAGAGCAACAGAGTGAGACTATGTCTTGAGAAAAAAAAAAAAAAGAATCAATAAAACAGATATACCCATCTCTTGATAGTTGCTGAGTCTTGGTGGTTGGTATACTGGTCTTCATTGCACCTCTTTACTCCTTTTTATGTTTTAAATTTTTTCTATCAAAACATTTTTAAAAGGGAAAAATAAGGTATCCAAAATTACTTTGGGCCATTTGTGAGTGTTCATGCTTATAATCCCAGCACTTTGGGAGTTTGAGGCCAGAGGATCACTTGAGACAGGTGTTCAAGATCAGCCTGGACAACATAAGAGCCATCCCTACAGAGAATAAGAACAATTAGCTGGGCCTGGTGGCACACACTGGCAGTCCCAGCTGCTTGGAAGCTGAGGCCAGAGCATCACTTGAGGCCAAGAGGTAAGCTGTAATCACACTACTGCCACCTGGGTGACAGAGTGCCCTGTCTCTGAAAAAAGAAAATCACTTTTCGTTCATGAAATTGTCATCCTTGAAAGGAGTTTTTCTCCTAAAACAATTTACCTAAATTGATTTTTCACACATGAGGATCACAGTGAAGGATAACCCTAAACAAAATTATGAATTTAGGCTGGGCACAGTGGCTCATCTCTGTAATCCTAGCAGGCTAGGAGGCCAGGGCCAGAGGATCCCTTGAGCTCAGGAGACCAACCTGAGCAAAAGCGAGACCCCAGCTCTACTAAGAATAGAAAAATTAGCAGTCCCAGCTGCTCATGAGGCTGAGGCAGGAAGATCACTTGAACCCAGGGTGTTTTTTTTTAATTTGTTTTTTATTAAATCATAACTTTGTATATTGATGCATTTATGGGGTTCAGGGTACTGCTTCGATACACAAGGTGAATGCTTACATTGAACTTAGTAACACACCCATCACAATTATACTCATTTCTTAATAGTTTTGAAATGTACCATTGCATCATGCACATTAGGTGAGGTCCCCCATATCCCCTTCCAAACCTAGGGGTTTGAGGTTGCTCTGAGCTAGACTGATACCATGGCATTCTAGCCAGGGTGATACAGTTTTATTTTTTCTGTCTCAAAAAAAAAAAAGTATGAGTTTAACCATGTTTACCTTCAGAGCTCCCACTGCTAATTCCTCAGAACTCTCCTTTCCTTCTGATCAAAAATTGTTTCAGGAACAAAATCTGACTCTCATTCATATTAAGGGATAAATGACTACCGTTAGTTATAATAGATAAATTACTGCAGATAAAAGACGAATAATTAAAAATCTCTAAGTTAAATATCGCTAAAGGTGGAATGTGATACATCCAGAACAAGATATTTTGTATTTTGTTTTTTAAGGGGGCACTTTTTCTTTATTCACTTTACATAGTCAGCTGCTTGAGCCCCCTCAGGTAGTTGTTAAGAGAATTACAATGCATGAGGCCGAAATCATCTTGTCACCCATTCCCAACCAGAGGGTGGCCTAGTTGTCCTTTAATTAGGTGATGAAGATGCACGGTAGAGATCTGACTTTGAAGGGAGTCTGCTGCTTGCCTGTGTATTTGATTCTTTTTTAATCATAAGCTGTACAACATGATGCTTTGATATACACAGTGAAATGATTACTACATTGAAGAAAATTAACATATCCATCATCTCATATACTTTTTTTTGTTGATATAAGCACCCGAAATCTACTGTTTTAGCAAATTTCTAGTATACAGTGTAATATTATTAACTACAGGCCTTATGCTTGACATTCGATCTCTAGATTTACTCATCCTACGTAACTGCAGCTTTGACCTGTGTCTTCCCATCTCCTCTAACCACCATTCTACTCTCCACATATGCTCCTTTGTAAAAAATGTCCTACATATAAAGTAGTATGAAGTATGTGCATTTGCCTGTGTGTGGCTTATTCCCTTAGCAAGGTTCACCCATGTTGTCACAAATGGCAGGATCTTTTTCTTTCCTTTTTTTAAGAGACAGGGTCTTGGGGAGGGGAAGGGAGTGGATGGGTGGAGAGAGGATGATTTGAGGGATCACCTCTATGGTTTATCTTTCAAGGGTACAAGTGTCTCTTTCTAAAAGTAGACTATAAACGTCTTAACACAATAACTAAGAAAATGACATAAAGGTTATGTTAACCAGTTTGATGAAAATATTTCAAATTGTATATGAAAACACCACACTGTACCCCATGATTGCATTAATGTACACAGCTATCATTTAATTTTTTAAAGAAAAGAGAGACAGGCTGGAGTGCAGTGGCCCGATCCTAGCTCATTATAACCTCAAACTCCTGAGTTCAAGTGATCCTCCCACCTCAGCTTCCAAGTAGCTGGGACTATAGGCATGTACCACTATGCCAGGCTAATTTTTCTTATTTTTTGCAGAGATGAGGTAGCACTCACTATATTACATATATGAGCCACTATGCCCAGCCTTTTACTTATCTAAGGCTAAATGATATTCACTGTATATGTGCCACAGTGTTTTTATCCATGGTCAATTAAAGAATGATGAGGTTCATAAACTTGAGAAGGACAGTTTTATTTTCCATAAAGGGGCTGAAGCCCACCGGCTGGGCATCTTACCAACTAGGAAGCAAAGTCTCAGGCAGAAGCTAAAAGCAAGTACTTCAAGAGAACAGTGAAGGGTACAAGAATTTATGCTGAGCATTTAGTTTATATTAAATGTATATTTAACAAACTGTAGGAGGAGTCATGAATATTTATGGGAGGAGAAACAATTGAGCTTCACTCTCCTTCATGGGTCCCATGTACAAAAAGCTGCAGCATTAGCATGACTGGAGAGTGGAATTTTTGGCCCTGTAATGTCAAATAGTGAAGCAGAGGACACAAAAACCCTCACTGTGCGACCTCCTTAGACTGGCCAGTACCACCCTATGGTCAGTGGTCTCTTATCATGAAGGCATGCTGGTCAGTCATGTCAAAACTGTAAAAGGGTGGAGCAGCGGTTGGTTGAAATCAGCAGTGAGGTAAGTCTTCCCAAAGGGCAGATTTCAGTTTGTCCTCTAGGGGAGAAAGCTGAATGTTTAATGAGGAAAGGGTTATAATAAGGCATGTCTGACCTCCCATCCTGTCATGGCTTTCAGTTTTTAAGTTTTCTCTGAGGTTCCCTGGGCCAAGAGGGAATCCATTCAGTCTATTGAGGAGGGGCGTAGGATTTTATTCTTATCTCTCACCATTTATCCATCCATGGACATTTAGGTTGTGTCCAGGTCTTTGCTATTGCAAATAATGATGCAATGAGGCTGGGTGTGGTGGCTCAGACCTGTAATCCTAGCATTCTGGGAGGCCCAAGGTGGGTGGATTGCTTGAGCTCAGGAGTTTAAGATCCAGCGTGAGCTAGAGCAAGATCCCATCTCTAAAAATAGCTGGTTGTTGTGGCAGGTGCCTGTAGTCCCAGCTACTCAGGAGGCTGAGACAGGAGGATCTCTTGAGCCCAAGAGTTTGAGGTTGCTGTGAGCTATAACACCACAGCACTCTACCAAGGGCGATTAAGTGAGATCCTGTCTCAAAAAATGTATTAAAAACAAATGATCCAATGAACATGGAGTGCAGATGTCTCTATGATGTGCTAATTTAATTTCCTTTGGATATATATATGTACCCAGAAGAAAGATTGTTATATCATGTGGCAGTTCTACTTTCAATTTTTTTTTTTTTTTTGGAACCTCCATACTGTTTTCCATAATGGCTACACCAATTTATATTCCCACCAAGAGTGTATGTAAATTGTCTTAATTTGCCACTGGAAAAGTACTAGTATATACTGCCTGTGCTTTTTTTTTTTTCTTTAATTGCTTCTATTCAAGAAACTGTTTGGATTTTCACTTCACTTACTGGCTCAGTAACCTTGGCCAAATTACCTACCCTATGGATGCTTCAGCTTCCCCATCTGTAAACTGGGTGTCAAGACTATACCTACCTAAATGGCTGTAGTGAGAATTAATAATTACCTGAAGAGCAAGTAGAACAGTATCCATAGCATAATAAGCATTCAAATGTTACTATTATTATATCGATAATGCCTTTGATACCCTCTTTTCTACAGGAATAATTAAGAACCAATTACCCAGTTATATTCTTCAGATTCAAGGCGTCCAAATATTTGAGAGGGGCATTATTTGGAGAAATGGCAACCTCTTGGCCAATCTTATGGTAGCAAGTCCATATATTTTCCAAGTAATTATTATTATTTACTTTGTACAGCACTTGTGAACACAGCAGAACTACTGAGTTTTCTTCTCTTGCTGGAAGTAATCAAATAAAAAATATCAAAAACCTTAAATGATACTCACCTTTGCTACTTTCTTCTCAGCAAAATACTCAAAAGTTTTACAGCCCATCAACTCACCCACACCCCGGCTCAGAGGCTCTGCCTCTACCACTTTACCTCCTCCTCCCTACTAGGTAGAAACTTTTAGGGCTTTTAGTCATAAAAACAAAACTTTGTCAATCGAAGTTTGAAAGCAGTTACACGAACCACTCCCCAGATAAGAAGGGCATGAGGGTCAACTACCCCTTGTATTGGACTCGTGGTAGTTCTGACTCTGAGTTTAGTTCTTCCTCTACCCCTGCCACCTCCAATTTTTCTTGTCCGAAACATTTATCCCTTAGGGTTGAGAAACGGGTATGTGAGGGAGTGCTACTCCTTCGATCTTTCGTGGGAAAGACCCACGAAGTCAGGAAGACATCACATAGAAAGGCTGCACACCCTGATTTGGATTCAGGCCTCACAAAACGTTTATTAAGAAGAATGGTTGCCTTGTGCAATCGGTAAGGAAACCCGGAGGCCGCCTCTGCTTTCTTTTCTACCGGAGGCCGGGAAGATGGCGGACATTCAGACTGAGCGAGCCTACCAAAAGCAGCCGACCATCATTCAAAACAAGAAGAGAGTCCTGTTGGGAGAAACCGGCGAGGAGAAGCTCCCTCGGCACCACAAGAACATCGGTGTGGGTTTCAAGACTGCCAAAGAGGCCATTGAGGGCACCTACATTGGCAAGTAATGCCGGTTCACTAACGTCTCCGAGGGCGGATCTAGTCTGGCGCGGTGACCAAGATGAAGATGCAGAGGACCACTGTCATCCGCCAAGACATCCGTCTCCATTACACCCGCAAGTACAATCGTTTTGAGAAGCGCGCTTATCTGTGCACCTGTCCCCCTGCTTCAGGAATGTCCAGATCGGAGATACTGTCACAGTGGGCGAATGCCGGCCCCTGAGCAAGACGGTGCGCTTCAAAGTCACCAAAGCTGCTGGCACCAAGAAGCAGTTCCAGAAGTTCTGAGACTGGATATGTGCCCACGCCCCCAAGTGAAATAAAGTTATTTTCTCATTCACAGGCCAACAAAAGAAAAGAATGGTTAACATCAACCGAAGGCAAAGAAGAGAGGCGGGGACAGGGAGACTGAAGATGGCTTTGGGCCGGCGTGGTGGCTCACGCCTGTAATCCCAGCACTCTGGGAGGCCCAGGCGGGCGGACTGACTGAGCTCTCAGATTCGAGGCCAGCCTGAGCCAGAGCGAGACCTCGTGGCTGTGGTGGGCGCCTGTAGTTCCAGCTGCTTGGGAGGTTGAGGCAAGAGACTCGCTTGAGCCCAGGAGTTGGAGGTTGCTGTGAGCTATGACACAATGGTACTCTACTGAGGGCGACATAGGCTCTGTCTCAAAAAAATAAGTAAAATAAAATAAAATAATTAATAAATAAAAGAAGATGGGTTTGGCCCCGCAGGACTGTCCGCTCCCGCCTCCTGGCAGGGGTAAACAGAGCTAGTACGCTTGCGCACAGCCTCCGGGGTCACGTGCCGGCCGGGTACCCTGTCTCTGAGATGCCCCGGGCTTCGGGTTGCCTGCTCTAAGGGACCGTCTACAAACTGACGAGAGGCGTCAACCTTTTCCCTTAGGGGCGGATTCGGGAGGCTGCGGAGCCCTCGGTCGGAAACGCCCCCTCCTTCGGCCTGGGCGGGGCAAGTGAGGCGGAGTCCTGGGCCTGCCGGGAGCCGCCGCGCCTTTGTGGGCTATGGCTCGCTGTGGGGAGGCCGGCGCGGCCGGTGTGGTACTTTTGGGATCCCCTGGAGTTTGCAGTAGAGGGTTGCAAAGGAAGGGGCCCTGTGAGCGGCGCCGGCTGAAGGCGTTGGTGTCGGAGCAGCTCAGCCAGGACCTGCTCAGGTAGGAGGAGGCGGGAACCCTGGCTGCTTCAGTTCCTGACTCGCCCACCTTCGCCCCCGAGCTGCGGCCTCCCCTTCCCTCCCGACCTGGTTCTCCTCGCCGCAGGCGCCGTGGGACACTTGCCAGTCTCCAATCCCGAGCCCTTCGGGCAGCGTGTACCACATTCAAAAGGAAAACAAAAATTAAAGGCGTGGTTTTGTGCAGCACCAGTTTATGTAAAATATTTTAACACAGGCAGGTTTAGTAGCTTGAAAGATTGTTAAGGCTAGGGTGAATCCGGGTCCTGAAACATACACAGTTTTTTAATAAGCTTACACAATATAAAAACAATAACCAAAATGAGCATTTGAAATGAGGAAAGAACGGCCCCTTAGGGGTCTCTTTCTTTTGAGCTCTCTTTAAAAAGTGTACCAGAAATGCTTGCACAGAAATACTTCCTGATTGCAGCCTGGCCTCTTCTCTCCACCTAGAACACTCTGTGGCTCCCACTAACTCCTGGCTTCCGTGAAGACCCAAGCAAATGGAGGGTCATCCCGAACCTTTGTAAGCCGCATAGATGTCCATATCAGGATATCGGGAATCCAGCTAAAGTTATCTGGATCTGTTATCAGTTATCTGGCCAGGATCATACTATGAGAACCTGTGCTAGAGAGATCATGATTACTAATAACAGTTAAGCAGCATTTAACATCTAAAATGCTTTCTGTCAGACACCCCCACTTAAGGCTCCAATGACTATCTTTTATTAATGTAAAAATTTTTCCTTTAATTACCTACTGGTGTTGCTTGTCTCCACCAGTGAGGGACTGAAGTAAAAATGGAAAATAAAAGTAAAGTTGCTTTGGGTTTGGTGCTTAAACTCTAGTGAGAGAGATAATGGCCAAAACAAAAGTGATGGTGGTGGGGTGAGTTGAGAAGACTCTGTATAATGACATTTGAGTTGCCTCTTGGGAACTGATTAAGAATTGGTTCGGTGAAGATTGCAAAGGGCGAGATAGAGGATATCTAAATAAGGGGAATGGCTTTTATGAAGGCGTAGAGGTTTGAAAACAGCTTAATTTATTTTGGAAAACCAAGTTGTATTAGTCAGTGGTTCTCAACCTTCCTGAAGCCACAACCCTTTAATATAGTTCCTGTGGGTTGTGACCCACAGGTTGAGAACTGCTGTATTAGAGTCTCTAAATAGTGAGGAACAGAGACACTCAGGATTCCCTAAGGTGATGAGATACAGAGAAAAAGGAGGAAAACAGTTTCAGCAGTCAAAACGTCAGATTTGATGTAGAACTGGAAAGTTGCTTGGGGTAAGACACCATGTATACAGTAAGACCATATGACAAATGGATCATTATTCAGGGCAATTTTTTAAAAAGTTTATTGTCATCATACTATTTGCTATACACTGGGCTTAGATGAAACGTTTTATTCGTTCCCCTCATGAATCCTGTAAGCCTTGTTATCATTTCTGTTCTTCTACATTTAATGCTGAGAAAACTGAGCATTAAAAAGGAAGTGATAGAGTCAGAATATGAACCTTGGCAATCTGGTTCATAATTCTGGGATGTTAAAGTGATTTGCCCAAGCTCACATAACAAGAATGTGAACCCAAGTAGTCTGCCTCATCTATGGTAGCTGTGCAAACTGATCTTTCAGTAACTTCGTCTCTGCGTTTCTCCTTACCCATTTCTTTCTTTTTAAATTTTTATTTGTAACCTTATCATAGATTTGCTTTAGAGAGCTTTTAAGAGTGCCATCAGTTGGTCCTGTTTACTGTAGACCAGCGATTCTCAACCTGTGGGTTGCAACCCCTTTGGACTGTATTAAAGGTTCGCGGCATTAGGAAGGTTGAGAACCACTGCCGTATACCATCATTGCTTGAGTTCTCTTGCTTAACTATCTCATTAGCCGGTGGCTAACCTTGGCTGAGTGCATTGTCCATTCAGATCTGATTAGGGTGTAGGGACATGTGGTACAAACCAGGGCCATGTATCAATTATAAATGAATTTGGTTGCGTTTTTTGAAAAGATATTGTGGATATGATTAGGAATCAAAGTGACAGCAGATGAGAGTGAAAATATGGACTAAGACTAGATCACATAAGTCGCCTTTCTCCAGTAAAATGTTTGCAGTGTATTCTGGAGTCAAGAGAGAGCCATTGGTGTTTTTCAAAATAGGATGTTAACACATTTGGATTCTAAACTTGTGGAAAGAGAACTTAGAAATAAGGAGACCGGCTAGGAGATTTTATAATAGTACAGAGATACAAAATGGCAGTAGAAATAGAACAATTCAATAGACTTGATGACCGATTACATATAGGGAACAGAAAAAAGGGAAAAATGGAAGATGGTCCCAAATCTTAGGACATGGGGCAGAAAGTTGTATGAAGGTTCAGGAAACTATATCCAGGAGAATTGGAAATATGTCTGAAGTTGAGGGAAGTTGGATGAGCAGATAGTGATTAAAGATTTGTGGCATCACTGATGCCCAGTTATCCAAAGGAAATATGAGGGAGATCCTTCCCTTCACCTTCTACGTACACTCACCAATTCCTGCCAGTTTTATTACCTAAATATATTTTAATTCCATCCCTACTTTTCTATCACCATTGACCTCTTCTGGCTCAAGACTTTTATGTCATTCATCTGTGCTGTATAGTAGTTTTCTCATCTTTATTCTCATTTTCCTCTAACTCCTCCTCTATACAAATTTATTTATTTTTTAAAAAATAGAAAAATTAGACCAGGTGCAGTGGCTCTGGCCTGTAATCCTAGCACTCTGGAGGCCAAGGCAGGTGGATTGCCCAAGCCTAAGAGTTCAAGGTTACTGTGAGCTACGATGATGTCATGGCACTGTATACCCAGGCAACAGAGTGATACTCTGTCTCATAAAAAAAAAATTACTTATAAAAATAATTTATTGATGAAAATAGGGGCCAGACCTGGTGGCTCACGCCTGTATAACACTCTAGGAGGCCAAGACAGGTGGATTGCTTGAGCTCAGGAGTTCAAGACCAGCCTGAGCAAGAGTAAGACCTGTTTCTACTGAAAATAGAAAAACTGAGGCAAGAGTTTACTGTGAGCTATGATGACACCATGACACTTTACCCAGGGCAACAGAGTGAGACTCTTATCTCAAAAAAAAAATAATAATAATTATATATATATATATAAATATATATATAGGTCAAACTAAGATGCATCTGTTTCCTCATTGTTTTCAAGATTCTGAAAGCTTTTGTGCTCTGAAACATTTCTTTAGGGTAAAATAGGATCATTTAACAAGCAGATATTGCTATATACTGAAGATACACAGTTTTTTCCCTTGGAGAGTTCATTATTTAGTAGGGAAAAAAAGACACATAAAAATAATGATGATGCAATGGCAGAAGTGCTGTAATAGAGGTATGTACTGAGTGTGATGGGATTAGAGGAAGAAGCCATTAACTTAGTCTTGAGGGAGTGAGTATCATTGGCAACTTTCCAAGCTTTCATTGCAACAAATAGCTTCATTTGCTACTGTACCTCCTATAGTGTGCCGACATGATTGCCAATTAAATCCAGCAACTTGAAAGTCCCTGCGAATACGTACCTTACTGATGATATTGCTATGGTCATATGAAGTATTAATTAATATTTAGAGAATAAAATAGATAGTTACTGCAAAGAGACAAAAGATTGTACTATGGTTTCAATTTCTTTTATCACTTTTAATATACAGATAATCAGGGGCTTTACCATAACTACGTGTACTCATTAGTAAAAGAATTCAAGTGGGTTTAGCTCATGAGTCCATCACTTTAATAATAGATTATAACATGATTAATTCTATTTGTGGGAGAGAGAAATGGAAAAGGGTTTAAATGTCACATTCTTGACAGCCAAGCCTGCATATCAGACTTGGTAATTAACATTAGTCAGAACAAAGGGTACCAGTTTGTCTGAATTATCTACTGTTGTGTTTGGTTTGTTGGTGTTAATGTTTACTTTTGTTGCTCCAGTTAATAAGATTAAAAAAAAATTCTTTTCATGTTAACTTTGTGTTCTGTGTTTCAGAATAAATCTAAAGAAAATGTATTTTAAAGGAAAATCAGCGGAGCACAAAATCTATTTTGTTATTAGAAAGAATTCATAAGATATATTTTGAAAAAAGTAGTCTCACTATTTTAGTGAAATTACCTTTGTTTTCACTGTAAATTAAAAAAAAATTACATTCTAAGCCAATTATTAAACAATGTTCTTTGGAATGACCTGATAACAAACTCATTTTTTAAAATTTAAAAAGTAAATTTTTTTAAGACAGTGTGTCATCATATGTCATTGCAACCTCCAACTCTTGGGTTCAAGTGGTCTTCCAGCCTCAGTCTCCTGGGATTATAGGTGTGCCTGCCTGGTTAATTTTCTTTTTCTTTCTATTTTTAGTGGAGCTGGGGGTCTCCTTCTTGCTCATGCTGGCGTCTTAAGCTCATAGCATTCCTCCTGGCTTGGCCTCCCAGAGTGCTAGGTACAGGCATGAGGCACTATGCCTGCCAAACTCATTTTTACATTATTTCATGTTGCCTCTGTTTTTTAGCTTATATGTTATTTTCAAGCCTATTTCATAAAAATAAATATATATAGTTCTTAGCATCAGTAATTAAACTATGATACGTTTTTCTTCCTTACAGGCTTCTAAAGGAAGAACTCCATACAGATGTTACTTTCTCTGTAGGCCGCACTTTGTTCAAAGCCCACAAAGCAGTCCTTTTAGCAAGGGTTCCTGACTTCTTTTCTCATACTATTGGACAGACGTCAAATAAATTAGCAAATCAGGAGCCTGTTGCCGTGGAGAATGTTGAAACTCCAGAATTTAGAACATTTTTGCAGTAAGTGTTTTTCCTCTTCTAAGATTTACTTATTTTAAACATATTTGTATGTATGTTTGTTTTCATTGCATGACAGTAGAACTTCCATAGTTGACCACCGTGACTTTTTTCCTGTTATCTGACATTGTTTTATTTATTATATATAAGTACATCTGTTTTATGTGCAGTAACTGATTCTATCAAATAATTACATCAAGGCATTCTAATTTCCCCCAAAATCAATTCGGGTAAAATTAAGATACTTATGTACTTCACAGGCTGTCAGAACTTGAGACTTCATTATTGATTTCAGTTCTGAGGTCACACACACAATTCAAAATATACATTAACTGAGTTAAGGCGATAAATATGGGCTGAAAGAAATAACAGGATTCGGAACAATTAAACTCTGTATTTTGCTTGCACTAGGGTCACGATGTGAATGGCGAGACTCGTGTGTCTCTCATAGCTCTTTTATGTAGTCCTGGGGGCTTCTGAACATCTAAAGGTACTGCCTGGTGGGTGGGCAAACAGATGACACCACTTGAAGGCTTCTCCCAGGGCTCATTTCTTCTCTGCCTCTCCTTTCTTCGGTTCTTGTTTCAGTTTGTAATCAGCCAGGGCAGCCTTGATTGCATCTTCAGCCAGCATGGAGCAGTGCAGTTTCACAGGAGGAAGGCAGAGTTCCGTGGCGATATCTGTGTTTTTGATGGTCAAGGCTTCCTCCACCGTTTCCCCTTTCACCCACTCAGTGGCTGGTGAGCTGGAAGCAATTGCTGAGCCACAGCCAAATGTTTTAAACCTGGCATCCACAATCTTCCCCTTTTCGTCTACTTGAATCTGTAATTTCATTACATCACCACATGCTGGAGCCCCCAGCAATCCAGTCCCAACATTTTTAGATGTCTTGTCAACAGACCCCACATTTCTACGATTTTCATAATGGTCAACCACCTTTTTTATGGTAGAGCCGAGCCGTAGCTGACAGCATCCGGGTGGGCAAGTGCAGGCTCCAGAGTAACAGAGCCGATGCCGCCCACCTCAGACAGCCCGCTCCAGCCGCAGCCGTTTCAGGTGACTTAATTTTTATAGACCAGAAATGTCACATATACATAGTCCTAGTTCCTTATGTTGACCACCTCTGTATGTAGACCAGTTTGCTGCAATCCCTTGGGTGATCAACTTACAGAAGTTCTACTGTATTTTCATATCTATCTTGTAATATGATAAGAAAAATCCATTCATCTAGTAATTAGTAGTAGTAGAGGCTATTAATATTAGAGGCTTAGTAGAAACTACTAATTTTAGACTGATTCTGAGGGAAGAGAAATGAATGGTGTGCTAATTTGAATGAATTTTCCTATGCTAGGGTTTCTCAGTAGTGGCGCTGTTGACATTTTGGGTCATGTAATTCTTTGTTGTGGAGGCAGTACTGTGCATTTTAGGATATTTTGTTATGACCACCAGAATGTCTCCAGACATTGCCGGATGCCCTCTGGGGGGCCCAATTACTTCCGTTGTTCATACTGACTTTTGTATTGTTGATATGTGAAACTGTGAAACTTTAAGTAAATTATGCATATTTACAAAAATATAAGAACTTTTATTTTCACAGCTATATCTTAGTCCACTGGTCCCCAACCTTTCTGGTACCTGGGACCAGGGATGGGGTTGGGGACAGAGGGGATCTGACAGGAGGTAGAGCTTAGGCAGTGATGTGAGAGGTAGGAAGCAGCTGTATATACAGATGAAGCTTCATTGTGTGCCCACCTGTCACCCACTGCTGTACAGTCAGTTCCTATCAAGCCAGGGACCAGTACCAATCTTTGTTCACTTGGACTACTTAGCTGTTTGCAGAACTGCCAGTCTTTTCCAAAATGGCTGTAACATTTTATATTCACACTAGCAATGTAAGCAGGTTTCAGTTTCTCCATATCACCAGCAACACTTGTTATATACCTTCTGTCTTTTTTATTACAGCCATCCAAGTGGATGTGAACTGGTATCCCACTGTGGTTCTCCTTTGTAGTTCCCTGATGGCTAAGGGAAATGTTAAGCGTATTGTCATGTGCTTCTTTACCATATTTATATCTTATGTGAACTATCTCTTTACATCCTCTGCCAATTTTTAAATTGGTTTTTCCTTATGTTATTGAGTTATAAGATTACTTTATAAATTCTGAAATACTAGACTCTTTTTAGAAATATGATTTGCAAACAAATTTCTCCGGTGAATTGTCTTTTCACTTTCTTGATATCATTTGTAACACAAAATTTTAAAATTTTATTAAGATACCTACTCCGGGGTCATGATAATTGACTTGCATATTTCCTTCTAAGAATTTTGTAGTTTTGTATTTTTAGCTTTTACACTTCGGTCTATGACCCATTTGGAGTTAATTGTTATGCATAGTTAAGGATGGAATCTGACTTCCTTCTTTTGTGTTAGATATACAGTTGTCCCAGCAGCATTTGGAAGACTATTCTTTCTTCATTGGATTGTCTGGACACCCTTGCCAGAAATCAGTTGCTCATTGCTATGAACTGGATTGTCTCTACCCAAAATTTGTAACCCACAGTGTGATGGTCATTGGAGATAGGACCTTTGGGAGATCATTAGGTCAAGATGAGGTTTTGCAAGTGGGGCCCTCATAAGATTTAGTGCCTTTAGAAGAAGAGGCACCAGAGAGCTTGTACGTAGACTTTCTTTCACTACCATGCGAGGACACAGTGAGACAGCAGCATCTGGAGGCCAGAAAGAGGGCCCTTACCAGAACCCTAATCTTGGACTTCTAGCCTCCAAAAAGCTATGAGAAATTGATTTCTGTTGTTTAAGCCACCTAGCTCATGGCAGCCCAGGCCAGTACACCCATAGATCTGAGGGTTTATTTCTTCTCTCTCAATTCTATTCTATTAGTCTGTATTTTTGTCCTTATGTCTGTACCAATTACCTGTTTTGACTTTTATGGAGAATCAAGTTGGATTTTTGTGTTTTATGTCCTAGATCCTAGGTGATTTTTAGATGCTAGTCTTTAAGTTGTTTGTTGACATGCTTTTGGCTATAATCAAAATCACATTTGGCCAGGCATGGTGGCTCAAACTTGTAATCCTAGCGCTCTGGGAGGCAGAGGCAGGTGGATTGTCTGAGCTCATGGGTTTGAGACCAGTCTGAGCCAGAGTGGGAACTTGTCTCTAAAAATAGCCGGCTGTTGTGGTGAGCACCTGTAGTCCCAGCTACTTGGGAGGCTGAGGCAAGAGAATCGCTTAAGCCCGAGAGTTGGAGGTTGCTGTGAGCTGTGAGACAACAGCACTCTACTGAGTGAGACTTTGTCTCAAAAAATAATAATAATAATAAAGCTAATAGTGTGAGCAGTGGTCTGGGTGTGTGGATAGTTGTGATGTCAGTAGTGAAACAATCCACTGGGACACAGATTGGCTTATGTTGGCACTGCTGGTAGGCGCAATGGGTTGGACCGGCGATTCTCCAGTCCTATAGCTACTTAAAGCAAGGTAAAGGATATGGTCCTGTGTGCATTTAGGAGAGCTTGATCTTCACTGTTCCTCCCCACCCAAGTGGTGACTGTAACTTATCAGGATGCAATCTGGAGTTAAACTCCCCAAATGGCACCTTAGCCCTGTGACTGCAGAGAGCAGGGTCCTATTAAGGTGAGCAACAAGAAGAGGAAGCTATGGGGACTTTGGTTCACTGCTGTCTTTGCTGCATGGCTGCCAGTTACAGGGTGGTGGCTATTGTCCTAGATGTGCTTAAGAGAGCCTGATTTCCTCGTCCCTCCTCAACCAGGTTGTGGCTGCAGCCAGTCAGGCCAAATTTGGTCTGAGGGCAGATGCGGCCCAGAGTGAAACTCTCAATGGCACCTGGGCCTGTGGAAGAGTGTGGGGCTCCTTCCAGGAAAGGAACTGTGGCCAGTGCCATTTGCTTAAGTCTTGGTCTCACCAGCTGCCCGCAGCAATATGGCAGGGATCTTCCCAAGGTTGCTGGGAGCCTCCAGTTTCCATTCTGTCACCTCATAGCCCCATAGTGGCAATAGCTGCACATAGATCTTCAGCATCTAGACTGTCAGAATAATACCAGCAGGATTCTATGTGGGTTCACCTGGTGCAGCAGTTTCTCTGTGTAGTCTCTAGGTGGTTCTCTATGTTAGCCAGAGACCTGTGTGAGTTGAGGGATACTCCTGTAGCCAAGATTGTAACAACTCTTTTTTTTTTTTTTTTTAATTTCAGAGTAATATGAGGGTACAAATGATTAGGTTACATTGTTTATATTTCTAAGGTAAAGTTCAAGTTGTAGTTGAGCCCTTCACCCATGGAGTTTGCTGTATACCCTTCTGTTGTACACATTAGATGAGAGCTCGCCAATGCCCCTGCATCTTCCCCTTTCTACTCCCCCCACCCCGCTTGAATATAATTATGTTTTTGTCTCTTGTGTGGACATGTAGTGGTTTATCTATTGGTTTCATGTTAGTATTGAGTACATTGGATACTTTTCCATTCTTGTGATAAAGAAGAATGTGCTTCAGCTCCATCCAGGTAAATACAAAAAATGTAAAGTTTCCACCTTTTTTATACAACCTCTATGGGAAGAAGTATGGAGAATCCTCAAAAAGCTAGAAGTTGACCTTCCATATGATCCCACAATCACATTACTAGATATCTACCCAAAAGAAAAAAAAATCATTTGACCATAAGGACATTGGCACTAGATTGTTTATTGCAGCTCCATTCACCATCATCAAGATGTGGAATCAACCTAAGTATCCATCAACCTATGAATGGATTAATGAACTATGGTACATATATACCATGGAATACTATTCAGTAAAAGCCCTTTTCCATGTGTGAAGTTCTGGGCATTTCTTTCTTACTATTTCTCTGTATCCAGGAGCTTTTCCTAGCTCTCTCAGTCACTCCCCGACCAGGCAAGGTGCCTTGCACCTCTCCTTACTTGTTTTGGTGCTTCCTGTTACTGCTGTGGTGAATCCTAGCATTATCTCATAGATGATCTGTTCGAGATGTGAATATATACTTATTCTGGTTCCACTTCATGGAAGAGGCACAAACTACCTGCTTCTAGTCAGACATCTCTACAACCTTTCCCTTTAAGTACAATTTAGAAAATCGACATCATTTTTCAGTGGAGGCTCATGGAGTTCCAAATATTCATCTTAAAATGTATATTTTTTTCCATTAGCAGGTGATTTAGTGGAGTTGTTTTAAGAGCAGCCTTTGTAGTCAAACCACGTCTACCATTTCTGTGTGAGCTTGGACTAATCACTTTCCCATTAGTTTCCTCATCTGAAAAATGAACATAACAATACCTACTTATAGTGTTGTTGTGATGGTTAAATGAAATGGTTATAAAGCACTTAACACAGTGGCCTGGCATATAGTAAACAATGAATAAATTTTAACATGTTATGCACAGTAGGTGCTACAAAATTACACATTTCCTTAGTAGTGTTGAGTGTATGTTTAGAAGATCCTTGACTGTATACAATGGCTCATGCCTGTAATTGGAGCATTCTGGGACACCAAGGAGACTTGAGATCAGGAGTTTGAGACCAGCCTGAGCAGTGAGACCGCCCATATCTTAAAAAAAAAAAACAAACGAAGATGGTGATCCTCTGGGTAGGTCAAATTTTTATGCATTAGAGAAAGGTAGAAATTAAATCAGTATTATCCTTTGATTGTTATTAAAATTGAGGACAAAATTGACTTAGAGACAATATGGGACAGTGGAGAAGCACTGGGCTTGGTAACAGGACAGATCTGCCTTCTGGCTATGCCTTGTTTTATGATTGCTTTTTCAGCCTCAGTTTTCTCATTTAGAAGAATAGTTGGAGTAGCTGGCTTTGTGCTTGATAGCCCTTCCTAGTGCTCTATTTTAAGCACTTCGTCACATTCTGTTTTGTGTTGTGTTAGGCACATATGTCTGTGGTTATGTAAGCTCCCTGAGATTAGAGTGTCTCATTGATGTGCACGTCCCCAGCAGTACCTCCTGTAGGTCTTGTGCATAGAAAGTGCTTGTGATGTTTCCTCTTTTTAAAAGCAGGTTGACTTGAAATTAAAGGAAAGCATATGGAAGAAAGTATAATGGAAAATAATGAGATTAAAATTTCTTTTGGTAAAAATTTTGATAGAATAATTTTTTTGTTATATGAAATTGAGTCCTTAAAAGTATCTTTAATTCGTATCTTTTCTCTTCAAGTAACTGATAATGGTTTTTAAATATGCTTTTATGTTGCTGCTTACAGAGTGCTTTGGTATGCACTTGAGTCGGAGTACACCATGGAGTCTTTGAAAAGTAGTTTTATTTGTGGTGACTTTAGATGTGGCTCCAAGGATTGTCACCAGAATGTAGTGCTTGCTTTATGATGTCATGATTAAAATTCAACTCAGAATCATAAAAATCTTTGATTTGCCAAGGAGACTTACCCTATTACTGTTGTGAGAGAGAGGGAAAGAAAGGGGAAGACCTTTGAATTGTTAGTTTAACACCAAGAACTGGGAGATGCTAGGATAAACTGTCAACCAGGTGAACACATAAAATAGCACAGAATAAAAGCTTCAGTTTCCTCTGTACTCTTTCTCTGGTAGTGGCTATTTTTTCTCACAGATCCTTTAGTTGAGGTCAGTGTCTTTTCTTGGTGTATTAACTATATTTTCTTACTTTATACATTCTTGACATTCTGGTAACTAGGGTTTCACAGACTGGAAAAAGACCACCCCTCCCAGAGCTAAGATAATTTCTAGAGATAGTAATTCCTAGAGATACTGAATGTGCCTTTGATGTGAAAACCAACCAATTCTGAGTCCATACACCCACCATACACCCACCTCTTCTGTTTGGTTCTTATACTTCAGGCTGCGATATTCTTATATCTTAGTCATCCCACAGCCAGACAACAAACAGCTAGGGCTGGGCGATGGTGACTCATGCCTGTAATCCCAGCACTCTGGGAGGCCAAGGTGGGTAGATTGCTTGAGCGCAGGAGTTTGAGACCAGCCTGAGCAAGAGCAAGACTCCATCTCTAAAAAATAGCTAGTCACTGTGGTGAGCACCTGTAGTCCCAGCCACTAGGGAAGCTGAGGCAACAGGATTGCTTGTGCCTAAGAGTTTGAGGTTGCTGTGAGCTAGGATGACGACATGGAACTTTAACAAGGGTTAGAGTCTATCTCAAAAAAAGAGAAAGAGGCTCGGCGCCTGTGGCTCAAGCGGCTAAGGCGCCAGCCACATACACC